GTCAAATGAGTAATAAGTCTTCTTAGGTTATATTAATGGGAAAATGTTATTAATATAGGTGTTCTAGAAATTATATGGAATTCTTGAAAATCTGGTATCTCCTGGTAAAATTATCAGTCACAATTCTAGTTATTAAAGTGTTGTATGTCACAGCAGTAACCAAGTTTCTTTGTCAATTGCATTGTAATCATATTTTAAAGGTGCCTTAAATCTTTTGTCATTATAGACAGTTATGGTTTCACTCTGATGCTTTTACAAAAATGCTTCCTCTTCAAGAAGATTTCCAGAAAGGACTTTTTGACAAATACAGGTTTCTGACTTTCAGACCATAACACTGAACTGGGTAAGAAATTAAAGAATTCTAATGGGAAACCTGATGGCTTCATAAAACTGTTAACAGTAGGACTGAGTGAACTGGTGACTATGGCTATAATTTTTATGGTTTCTGTCTGAGAAATAATTGGTTTTAATCTGTGTTTTCCAGATATAAGGAAACCCTTCTCCTCAAGCTAATTATGACTTATAGCAGTTTGGTAAATTATACCTTTGTAAGCAGAATTGAAACATTTATCTTGCCTCTCTATCTGATCCCTCCAGAGATCGGAAACGCATAGGTTCCCAGTAGCTTTATCAGATAAATTAGGAAGGACACCTCCTAACAGGTGCAGGAATCTCAAAGTATTTGGGGACCGTGAAAAAGGAGGAATTCACCTAAATCTGTAAGACAATGTCTGTGACAAGCCGTGGGCATGACTTTCCTAGCCCTGAGAGGCCTTTTAAAAGTTCAATCTGACATAAGCGAGAGAGTGGCATGGACATATATACACTACCAAACGTAAAATAGATAGCTAGTGGGAAGCAGCTGCATAGCACAGGGAGATCAGCTCGGTGCTTTGTGACCACCTAGAGGAGTGGGTGGGATAAGGAGGGTGGGAGGGAGGGAGACGCAAGAGGGAAGAGATATGGGAACATATGTATATGTATAACTGATTCACTTTGTTATAAAGCAGAAACTAACACACCATTGTAAAGCAATTATACTCCAATAAAGATGTAAAAAAAAAAAAGTTCAATCTGAGACTCCTTATAAAAGTTCTAGCAAAGCCATTTTTTTTAAAAAAAGAAAAGCCTATATGATCAATTACATTTATATAAATCATCAGGCCAAGTTTATTGAGACTAGACTTACTTTACAAATTGGTCTTAATTTGGCTATATTTGGTAGAAATAAGGGTAATTTTAGAAAAAGTTATGTTTCAGTGAATATTAAATTCTAGTTTTGTTGGGGTCTGCATTTACTGCCTAAGACTGACTTCTCAGATAGTTCCTTGCTGTCATTAATTCCTTGCTGATATTAATGTTAATATTAAATTTAACTGAGTCATTAATAGGACACTCTTAAGTCTGTTTCTGAAGCTTATATCATCTATCTTTGGATGAAGATCAGATGTCCCAAGACCTGTAACCAGGTCATTATGTGTACTGGAAAAAGACATCTTTTAAAGGACCATCTCCAACCTAGATGGAAAGACCCTTATCAGGTACTCTGCACTAGCTCATGCACAGCAAAACTGAAGGGAATTGACTCTTGGATTAATATTTTCACATAGAAAGGGCCCCTGCACTGGACTGGTCTATAGAGAGGGCTGCTGATGTCAAAATCACCTTAAAACAACGCTCAAACAGAGGAGAAACTACACTCATACCAGGATGAGAGGAAGACAACATTGGAAGTAGACAGCTGGCCTAAGATGCTGCACCTGACCCGTAAGATCATTTATTGTGTTTTCTTGACTTCTTGGACCTTTGTATAAGAATCAAATGTTTTTCTATCATGGGCATGATCCTATGCTTGTTTTAAAATTCAATCCAGTCGTTGGGTTTGTGACCTGTGTCTCATACTTCTGGGTTACCTTGGTGGATTTCTCCTGTCCAAGGCTCTGATTGGTTGGCTCTTAGGAAATTTATTCTAAAAGAAAATTATAGTTCTGTTCAGGACACTATTGATATTACTAGGTGGGATCCCCTCACCTGGGCAATTAATACTACCTGCTCTGACCCTGGCCATAAGTATGAATTTTCTTTTACAGTCACTCAAGTTCAGTCAGAGCAAGAGACAAAATTTCAGCCAAAGCATATAACCTCCCAAAATTATGGGATGGATTTATGTGGTTAACACTAGGCTATGGTCACTTAAGTTTAAAGGCTCCCTATGTTGGGTACAATTGGGTAAACCATACTAAGGATAACCAGCCTAGTGACATGAGGAAATTGGGCTGGGCGCCTTATGGACAATGCCAGTATATGATTTCCCTTAGAGGCAAGGATTGGTACAGAACAAACTAAGTCAGACAACCTGGGGATATGACTAATGGAAGCTCTCGACTTAAATTCTTACTTAGGACCTTACTAATACTGCTAGCTATGTTATTTGTATATTGCCTGTTTTACAAAACTGTTGTTTCCTGCATTATCACATGTGTGACTGAACCTCTGATAAAATGATGTCTAGGTGACTTGAAGCAGTTGACCACATATATAGTTCTATATGAGAACAGTGATTTTAATAGTGTAACTCTAGATATGGGAAGAAGCAGCAAGAGGGAATTTTTATTTCCTGGACTGTAACAGACTAGTAAGACAGGTGGTCCAGCGACTTTTGACTACTGTTAATAAGGCCTAGTCCAGTAATAGCACACTGAGTGGCCTATCAGTGAAATCCTCGCCTGACTTAGGAATGAGCATTCCTAGCACCATGGGACGAAACGGTCATGAAATGCCTCCCAAACCATGGTTGAATTTATGACCATGAGGCGGCCCTGCCAACTAAAAACTGGCACTTGCCATCTGCCTCTACAAGGATTAGGTCAGTAGCCACGGTCGTCACTGACCTTCAGCACCCCCTGAATGGAGGCCAGGTGGAGATCAGGAATGAGCACTCTGTGCTCTGGCAGAACAGGTCTTTGGATAGTTAGATATTTTCAGGAAAATATTGTATGAGTCCAAATCTTGCCTCTCCTCATATCTAGAAAAGCAGTAAAATCATTAATGGGGACATGTGCTCCTCGTGACTGGCAGCAAGCCTCTGTGAAAATGTGTGCCTGACTGCACATACCCCCGCTTTGCTAAAATCTTATATAATACCTCTCCCCCCACCTCTTTGGAGCAGTTTCTCAGAGCTATCTGAAATGCTGTCTCCTGGGCGATAGTCCTCATTTTGCCCCAAATAAAACTGAACTCACAACTCTCACACTGTGCTTTTTTTTTTTTTCAGTCGACAACACACAGCCTATATAGTTGGAAAAAGAAAATATTTTTGGATATATATTTTATTTGACAGTGTTTTAGAATATCATACAGTAAACAAGATTTCTGTAAAAGTTAATTTATCCATAGTGGTGCGTTTCATAAAAATAGTTGCTCACTTACAGTCTTTCTGTGACTATTAATACATGTAATTATATTTATAGAGATACAGCTGTACAGGGTAAATTCACAGCTAACACTACACAGAAATATTATTTGGAATGGGGTTTAGATGATGTGCTGTCTTCACAGGTTATGGATTACAGCTGCATAAAGCAATTACTGCACAAGTAGTAGCTGTGAACTGTGCAAATTAGAATTTATGCAAGCGTAATCTCAATTTTTTTATCCTTTTGTAACACATGGAAAATAAAGGTCAGAGGATACAGTACCGGGACGTGCAGCTACACTACAGAAGCATTGTCCAAAACCAGATTCAATAAATTAATGGCAAACTATACTGGATCTGTAGTCCAGGGGAGAAAGAGAGTAATTGAGATTAAACCAAAAGTACTGTAAACTGCTACATGTGTTTGTGCTTTAGTTTATGATGACTAGGTTTCATTTTTGGAAATTGTTTTTACAGGCTGCAAGACTCTTCACTTGAGGCTTTCAACCATATTCTCCTCTTGTCAAACAACGAAACTACACCTATGCTTGATGGAAATTAAACAGCTGGTGCTCAGGATACTACAATTACAAAGAGAGGGAAAGAGTCAACCCAAGGAAGCTGTTACTTGTGACTGCCTGTGATGGGACCTGATCTCCCTGTTTTACTTATTTGACTTCAGGTGCAGGGAGGTAAGGCTTATTTGCATTTGAACTCCTGTAAAGGGCAGAATATGGGGAGGATGACACCTCATTCATTCAGGTCATATTAAAGAGAAACTGCCCTCTGAAACATTTGCCTTTTAATATGTGCAGCTACAAATAAGAATGCATGGATAATTAACTGAAGGTAAAATTTTACAAAGAAAGATCAAAACAGCAGAGAAGAAAGGCAATCCTTAGAGATACTAGGGTATCTACCATGGATGAGGAAGATAAACAAAGATCTAGACAAAAAAGCAAACCAAATGGAAATAAAAGGAGAAATAATAAGACATGCTAAAAAGATCCATGTTCTTTAATGAAAAGAAATGGGTCATACTAATGATTTTTTAATATCAGAGAGAGATTCATTGTAATCTGAGAAATACAGGAGAAATACTTTGCCTCTGCTCTATCAAAGTGAAAATGAAGTAATGGAAGACAGCAAAATGAGTGAAATGTAATGTTGCTGTCAAATAAGCTGCTAACTCTGAGACAACAGGAAGGCCTTCTCATAAAGGAACTGCAGCGTTGCCAATCTCAATTTAACAAATTGTGGTCCTTTAGTTATAAAATTCCTATTTTAGATGAAAACCAATTAAGATCTATGAGCTAAACTGCAAAATTTTGACTTATGGCAGACTGTTCCCTAGGATACAATTTTTAAAACTTTTTTTCCTACCACTGAAAATGCACAGAAACGTGATCACAGAAATGGCAGTAAAAATGGCATCCCACCAATGAATTCACTAGATTTCTAATTCATCCTGCAGTATGCAGGGGACATTGCTGCTAAAACTGGTGATGGTGCCACAAGTGAGCCATGGAAACGTGTCATGGGTGAACAGTTCTGAATGTTTCAAAGAAACCTCTTAACCCCTGTCTAGATATGTCCAGAACAATTTATTTACAACTCTTCAGATTAAAAGATATAATCTTGTCTCAGTTTCAGCTTGCTCCGTGCAGTTTGATTTTTAAGGCGATATTCCAGTTTGTGATTGCTCTTAACTTGTCCAGTTTCTTGATATGTTTCTTGATATAAAGTTTGGATGACATCCAAATCCTTCATGCAGTGGGGGAATTTTGTTCTTTTTCTTGTTTTACTAAAGCTACACTGCACTCTCTGTGATGTTCTTCACGTTATTTTGGTTCTTCCATAGCTGCCAAAGCCCCCGCAGTGGAACTGGGAGCTTCAGGATCAGTTTGGGTCTGCCGTGGATGCCATATGGACCATGCTTGTTGACACGTGGGACTTCATGTCGGTGCTCCCAAGCCTTGGTGCCTCGTGGATTTATGCACGTGACAGTGAAAATAAATTAAAACACCATGAGACGGAACCTAAGAAGAATGGCCTGCAGGTATTGAGGCGGGGCAGTGGGCTCATCTGCCTGCGGCCGAGGCGCCGGGTTTGAGGATGCCCGGCAGCTTGTCGGAGCCTGGCACCTTCCAGGGCCCTGGCGCAACAGCAGCCTTGCGCACAGGGGTTCCCCCCGGGGGCCGCGTGCCCTGCCTGGGCCCCGCACGTGTGCCTGCCCTGCCCTCGGCCTCCCGCACACCCGTGCCGCGGCCTGGGCCCACGAACGCAGGTGCCACTCCGGGGCCTTCACACCGGCCGAGCTCGGGGCCCACTGCCGCATGCAGCCCCTCCTTGCTGCTGGCCCGCGCTGCGTCCACTGCTGTGGGCCCGGGTGCCCTGGCCTCTGAGGAGGGCCTGCTGGCCTCAGGCTGCCCCTGGCCACCAGGCACCTCCGCGAGCCTCGGCTGCACCGCCCGCTGCGGGCTTGCCGAAAGCTCACTCTGCTCCCCGAGGCGCTGCTTCTTCTGGCTGCCGGCTGAAAGCTCCTTTGGTTTCCTAACGTCGTGTTCCCTTTTGATATCCCAAGTTGGGTCTGGGCTTATCTGGTTGTTAGGGTCGGATGGTGGGGCTGGATGTGATGGAGAGAATGGAGAGAGGACGTCCTCGAGGGAGGCGCCTACTTCCGGCAGACCTGGGGAGGCAGCAGCGGGAGAACTCCAGGAGCTGGAATCGTCTGTGGGGCAGGAAGCACAGGCGTTAGAGCCGTGCAGCACATGCTTTTCACACTCCTGCAACCTCCCTCCACATTGGGAATGAGAGAAGGCGGCCAGGGGCCACTCCTCTCAAGGTCCCAGGCCACTGCCACCCCCGCCCTCACTGCCAGGAGGGCAGCTGACCTTCTCCCTGGGGATTCTGTGTTCCCCATCCTCTTTACACCACCCCTTCCCTCTTTGAGTGTTCAGGAAGGTGGTTACAAAGCTCAGGCCTAACCCATCCCATTGTCTCGGCCCCTTCTAACTTCCTGCAGTGTCATCAGGTCTGCCAGCCCTGTGTGGATATCTGACTTGGGAGCACCTGAATCAGTGGTTCTCAAACTCAAGGATACACGTGAATCACCTGGGGCAGTTTTGAAAAATACAGAGTCCTCAGCCAAGGAACTCCTCTGCATTTTTAACAGGCACCCAGGTAATTCGGAAAATGCTTGGGGGAGTAACTTTCTCAACCAGTAGGTGTCACTCAAGACATAATTCTTAGCTACCACCAGATACAGAATTTGGATGAATTCATCTATAAAAAGGTTCATTATTCCATTCAGGGACAGAGGTGGTCAGCCAGAACAGGCTGGTGTGGAAGGATTGGAACCCTTTTGTGAGGTTTTGCCTGCAGGTGTTAGAAAGTTTTGCAGAAACTTTGACTTCCTGGATGGACACCCTTTAGGAGCTCTTTCCCATATATATATCTCTCCAACTTTCCTTTGAGGTTATATTGTCAAACTTGTGTTCCAAGATTCAAACAGGTAATATGACGCTGCCTATAAGATGTTCAAACTTTATGGTTAAAACACAAATTATTTTATTCTGCAAGAAGCTGATGTTGGTTGGAGACAAGATGGCAGAGTAAAAGGACCTTGAGCTCACCTCCTCTCACAAGCATGCCAAAATCACAACTAACTGCTAAACAACCATTGATAAAAAAGACTGGAATCTACCAAAAAAACGATATTCTGCATCCAAAGACATAAGAAGAAACCAAGAGATGGTAGGAGGGGTGCACTCGTGATATAATCAAATCCCACATGACCCAGGTGGGTGACCCACAAACTGGAGAATGATTATATCACAAAAGTTCTCCCACCAGAGAGAGAGCTCTGAGCCCCATGCCAGGCTCCCCAGCCTAGAGGCCTGGCATGGGGAGGTGGAGCCCCCAGAGTATTTGTCTTTGAAGGCCAGCAGGGCTTGAGTGCAGGAGCCCCACAGTCCTGGGGGAAACGGAGACTCCACTCTTGGAGTGCGCACACAAGGTCTTGTATGCAACGGGACCCAGGCCAAAAGGAGTAACTCCATAGGAGCTTGGGCCAGACCTACCTGCTGGTCTTGGAGAGCCTCCTGCAAAGGTGGGGGGCAGCTGTGGCTCTTCCTGGGGTCATAAAAGCTGGTGATGGACACGGCAGGGACCTATGTGAACTCTGGCTGGAGGCAGAGATTTTGGGCTCTTGGCACCAAGACCTGGTCCCCCAAACAGCCTGTAGGCTCCGGCACTGGGATGCCTCAGGGCAAACAACCAACAGGGTGGGAACACAGCCCCACCCAGCAGACAGATGACAGTCACCCAAGTCCAGGAAGCACAGAGAGTCCCATACAGGACTAACCCAAGGAGGAACATGCTGAGACACAAAGCAAAGAGAAAATATTAAAAGCAACAAGGGAAAAGCAAAAAATTACATACAAGGGAACCCCCATAAGATTATCAGTGTTTCTTCAGCAGAAACTCTACAGGCCAGAAGGGAGTGGCAGGGCATATTTAAAGTGATGAAAGGGAAGAATCTACAACCAAGATTACTCTACCCAGCAAGGATCTCATTCAGATTTGATGGAGAAATTAAAAGCTTTACAGACAAGAAGACACTAAAAGAATTCACCACCAAACCAGCTTTACAACAGATGCTAAAGAAAATTCTCTAAGTGGAAAAGACAAGGCCACAACTAGAAAAAAAAAAAAAGTACGAAATGGGAAAGCTCACTGATAAAGGCAGGAAATCATCCACACACAATTGTGATGTCAACATCAGTAATTGTGAGAGGAGGAGAGCACGAATGCAGCATACTTGAAATGCACTTGAAATTAAGAGATCAGCAACTTAAACAATCGTGTATACATACAGACTGCTGTATCAAAACCTTACGGTAACCACAAACGAGTCTATAATACACACACACAAAAGGAATCCAAAGACAACGCTAAAGATAGTCATCAAATCACGAGAGCAAAAAAGGAAGAAAAAGAGACCTACAAAAACAAATCCAAACAATTAATAAAATGGCAATTAGAACGTACATATTGATAATTACCTTAAATGTAAATGGATTAAATGCTCCCACCAAAAGACATAGACTGGATGAATGGATACAAAAACAAGACATGTATATATGCTGTCTACAAGAGACCCACTTCAGACCTAGGGACACATACAGACTGAAAGTGAGGGGATGGAAAAAGATATTCCATGCAAATGGAAAGCAAAGGAAAGCTGGAGTAGCAATACTCATATCAGACAAAAAAGACTGTTACAAGAGACAAGGAAGGAAACTACATAGTGATCAAGGGATCAATACAAGAAGATAGAACAATTGTAAATATATATGCGCCCAACAGAGGATCACCTCAATATATATGGCAAATGTTAAGAGACATAGGAGAAATTGACAGTAACACAGTAATAGTGGGGGATTTTAAAATCCCACTTAAATCAATAGATCATCCAGACAAAATCAATAAGGAAACGCAGGCCTTAAATGACACATTAGACCAGATCAACTAAATTGATACTTAAAGAACATTCCATGCTAAAGGAGCAGAACATAACATTCTTCTCAAGTGCACATGCAACATTCTCCAGAGTAGATCACATGCTGGGCCACAAAGGAAGTCTTGATAAGTTTAAGAAAATTGAAATCAAATGAAGCGTCTTTTCCAACCACAACACTATGAGTTTAGAAATTAACTTGAAGGAAAAAAAATGCACAAACACATGGAGGATAAACAATCTGCTACTAAATAACCAATGGATCACTGAAGAAATCAAAGAGGCAATCAAAAAATACCTAGACAAATGAAAATGATCCAAAACCTATGGGACACAGCAAAAGCAGTTCTAGGAGGGAGGTTTGCAGCAATACAGTCTTACCTCAAGAAACAAGAAAAATCTCAAACAATCTAACCTTACACCTAAAGGAACTAGAGAAAGAAGAACAAACAAAACCCAAAGTTAGCAGAAGGCAAGAAGTCATAAAGATCAGAGCAGAAATAAATGAAAAAGAAATGAAGGAAACAATAACAAAGATCAATAAAACTCAAAGCTGGTTCTTTGAAAAGATAAACAAAATTGATAAACTTTTAGCCAGATTGATCAAGAAAAAAATGGGAGAAGACTCAAATCAAAAGTATTAGAAATGAAAAAGGAGAAGTAACAACTGACACTGCAGAAATACAAAGGCATCCTAAGAGACTACTACAAGCAACTCTATGCCAATAAAATGGACAACCTGGAAGAAATGGACAAATTCTTAGAAAGGTACACTCTCCCAAGACTGAACCAGGAAGAAATAGAAAATATGAACAGACCAATCACAAGTACTGAAATTGAATCTGTGACTAAAGAACTCCCAACAAACAAAAGTCCAGGACCAGATGGCTACACAGGCGAATCCTACCAAACATTAGGAGAAGAGGTAACTTACACCTATCCTTCTGAAACTATTTCAAAGAATTGCAGAGGAAGGAACACTTCCAAACCCATTCTATGAGGCAACCATCACCCTAATACCAAAATCAGACAAAGATTCCACCAGAAAAAGAAAATCATAGGCCAATATCACTGATGAGCATAGACGTAAATATCCTCAACAAAATCCACGAACTGAATTCAACAACACATTAAAAGGATCATACACCACGATCAAGTGGGATTTATCCCAGGGATACAAGGATTTTTCAATACCCACGAATCAATCAGTGTGATACACCACATTAACAAATTGAAGAAAAAAAACCAGATGATCATCTCAACCGATGCAGAAAAAGCTTTTGATAAAATGCAACATCCATTTATGATTAAAAAACTCTCCAGGCTTCATAGGTGGCGCAGTGGTTGAGAGTCCACCTGCTGATGCAGGGGACACGGGTTCGTGCCCCGGTCCGGGAAGATCCCACATACTGCAGAGTGGCTGGGCCCGTGAGCCATGGCTGCTGAGCCTGTGCGTCCGGAGCCTGTGCTCCACAACGGGAGAAGCCACAACAGTGAGAGGCCTGCGTACCACAAAAAAACAAAAAAAAAACCTCTCCAGAAACTGGGCACAGAGGGAACCTACCTCAACATAATAAAGGCCATTTGTGACAGGCACACAGTAAATATCATTCTCAATGGTGAAAAACTGAAAGCATTTCCTGTAAGATCAGGAACAAGACAAGGATGTCCACTCTCACCACTTTTATTCAACATAGTTTTACAAGTCCTAGCCACAGCTATCAGAGAAGAAAAAGAAATAAAGGGGATCCAAATTGGAAAAAGAGGAGTAAAACTGTCACTGTTTGCAGATGACATGATACTATAATACCTAGAAAATCCTAAAGATGCTACCAGAAAACTACTAGAGCTCATCAATGTATTTGGTAAAGTTGCAAGATACAAAATAATACACAGAAATCTGTTGCATTTCTATGCATTAACAATGAAAGATAAGAAAGAGAAACTAAGGAAACAATCCCACTTACCATTTCATCAAAAAGAATAAAATACCTAGGAATAGACCTAGGTATTTTATATAATACCTAGGAATAAAATACCTAGGAATATCTAAATAGACATTTCTCCAAAGAAGACATACAGATGGCCAATAGGCACATGAAAAGATGCTCAACATCACTATTAGAGAAATGCAGATCAAAACTACAATGCAGGGATCACCTCATGCTGGTCAGAATGGCCATCATCTAAAAGTCTACAAGCAATAAATG